CTTCTGGGACACTGAGATCTCAGGGCAAGTTTGGCAATGTGCACAAGCTGAGCACCGTATGAAGCTGGTCAATCCGCATCAACTTCTTGTCATCAGCTAGACCATTTAGAGACATTGAATTGAACTTTCAATCAAATTGACAGGGACATGTCTGGACCGGTAGTAGTGGTAAGGCTTAGACTTAAACATACTTAAACTTAAACTGTGGAATTGTCTTTGAACACAAAAGTCTTCCCTTCTGAGCACCAAAGACTGGTTACTTTGTCACTCTGCTAGCCTCTGGCAGCAAGGCTCCCTCACTGCGCTCGAGTAGCGCACAAAGCCGAGCCTCAAGAATGCATCTTGTCTCGTCTACCTTCACTCCTTCTTCCCTCCTGTTCCTTTCTTTTCCCTTCTAGGCTTTCTCTCTTTTGATTCTTCTCGCTTCAGCTTGTCAGCTTTCTTTTTGATACTATCCTCCACCTCTATCCTGGTTTCTTTTCTTGCCTTGTCCATCCTTGTCCAAACACCTTGCCTGTGAGCGCAGAGCTTCTTCATTCAAGCTTGCCAGGAATCGCAAGTTCTTCACCCGCAACGACACATGGCGTTCCTGCCGCAACTCCAAAGGTGTTCGGTGTTCTCTTTCAGTCAAAGGCTCTGACACTCAAGTAAGTTGGGCCACAAAGCTACTAGTAGGTGTTGGTTTTTTGGGCCCAACTAGTAGCTTCCTTGAAGAACCCTCACTTGTGCATCAGAAGAAGCGTTCCACCCGCCCTTAGAACGTCAGTCCAAGCCTTGACACGCCTGGCAGCAGATTTCAACTGATCCCTGGGCGTTTGAATTGCCGGAGTCACAGGTCGAGATTGCGTCCTAGAGCAGTTGAAAATTCTGAAGGCGATGCTGCACTCAGCTCTGTGTTGGGCTCCTTGGCAGTTCCTGAGGCCTCTTGGACTCCTTTCGCTCCTTCTGGCTTGCGGAACCTCAAGTAAGCGCTAGCCAAGTCACAGAGGGCCTTTGAGGTCCAAAACCCCGGTATTCGTCAAATATCAGTACCCTGAGTCTATCTGACTGAGTCAAATGAAAGCTTCACGGTTAAGCCCTTCTGCTTTGAACTTTGATCAAAATCCTCTCCCACGCTAAAAAAATCCCGAAAAGCCGGCGGTGCACCCAACGAGACAATAACATACACCACACGTTCATCAAAACTGCCTTCAGGGGCAACAAACGGTGCTATGACATGTTCGGGATCCTTAGCACCTCCAACTTTGTGCGATCTATCTCGCGGCTTTAATGAGCTTATTGATGAGCTACATTTTTGATCGCAATGACACATCTGTACAGGTATGTTAAGTTCTTTGGGCGCAAGCGGTCTTTGTCTCCACCGAAGCGTCCAAGTGCGCAAGACAGGCAGCCGGCAGCCATCATTATGAAGGCACCGACCTCTCTTGAACTCGGCGCTCTTGCGCCAATCTGCATGACAATATGACAACCATCGTGCACCCCTAACTTGGATGACTCACATCTCTCTGTCTGTAGGCAAACACAAGTTCCAAGTAAAGATGCTCAAAGAGATGCAACATGCGCACCTCACCAAGGTGCACATTCTTTGTCGATGGTTGCGGCAGCCACCCACGAATAAGTGTGGAGAGTCGAGAGCCAAAACTCCAGCTGAAAGACCCTCGCTGCTTGATCCGCGGTCTTGCTCATTGTTGAGTGATCGCACCAACAAGTGTTCCAAATTGCTGCGAAAGAAACGCCAAAACATTTGCCACTAGCTTGAAGACGCCCTCTGGCAAACGCTTGGTACACGAACTGACATTTGATGTGCTGCTGATCAGCTCTCAAGTGGTAGAGGCTGGTAGAGGCATTTGTTCCTCTGCCCACGTCACAACAAGCAAAACATGCGCTGCATCTGGCAACTTAGAGATCTGCTCCGTCGAAAGCGGTAACATGTCCAACGAGGCCACGGCAAAAATCGAAACCAAAAAACCGTGTCGTTGAAGTAATGAAATGGCAATCCTTACCAGGCTTTCACGCAGGCATTACAGCATTACAAGTGGAACTTGAAATAGAGGGATTCTGCATTATTCTGAAAGCTTTATGGCGTCATAGAACAAGAATAGCATCAACAGCATCGTCAGCGCTGTGATTCAAGCTTTGAAAATAGCAAATCGAGGGAACGGCACTGCAAGAGTAGTGCTGCCAATTGGACACGTACAAAAAACACTGTCTCCAAGCAGCAGCTGCGCGCGTGCACCGCGAAGCACGTTCAACAGCAAAGCCTTGCCATCCAGCTTGAGGCGTCTGGAGAGGACTGCTGGCAGCGCTTCTGGAGCACCACAGCAACAAAGCAACACATCCGAGGCCACGATGATGTCAAATTGCTCCACGCCTCACAGCATTGAAAGTGAAAAACAGCAACACAGCCTGACTTTCCGAAGTTGGAATATTCTTAACTTTACTCGCGGTGAACTGCAACAGCGGGGAAAACCACACATGCAAAAGCAAAACTCCCCCAACGAAGCTCCGAAACGATCTGCAGAACCTCTTTCTCTCAAAAGCTTGGAGTTGTGCATGGGTCTTCTGACCCCTGTCGAGTTGACTTCAAAATAAGGGTGCGTCAGGCAGAATCTCTCACCCATGCCTGATCCACCCTACCTGGCCCCCCAGGGCCACCTGGCACCTGGACGGGGCCAGCAGGACAGGGTCAGTAGCATGTCGAGCTGGTCAGTTGCTGGCTTGCACCCAATGGGCTGGGCCGCCATGGAGCGCCTGACAGGTCCACCTGTCTAACCCCGGCCTCGTCTCTTCCAGCAAGTCCAAAAACTCCGTCATGAAAGATGGTGCCTTCAGGGATCTCGGCACCACGACCAATGGCACTGGGGGCGGCGGTGTCCTGCTGTACCTTGACCCGCCCAGGGGCTCCAGTACCTTCAGGTCCAGCTCCTGCATGTGGGCGGCCAGTCTGCCACAGCGACATCCTCTTCCGCTCTGATAACGAGGTTGGAGGCCACGTCCACCTCCTCGTTGTGTGCATCCATCCCCGGGCTGGGGACTGTGTCAGCGTCCACGGTTCAACGACCGTTCCATCAAAAACATCCGCCACAGCAAATCCTATTTCAGTCGGCGAAGCCATTGTGTGAACAAATGGGGAAGTCGCTCGACGGAGAATGCTTTGTCACAGAATTGCAGCGTCACACCACTGCCAATCACTTGAGCCAAAATGGGACATTTTGGTGACTTTTGTGAACATAAAACTTGCACACGCAAGCTACATGCAAGTGTGAATACATAAACACATCAAAGGTCTTGGTGGAACTGCAGCCATGAGCCTTGATCCACGTTCCAATCAAGGACCTCAAAGCTTAGATCGTTGTGATGTCCATGATGCTCCTCAGGCTGCCAGTGATACCAATAAATGGAATCGAGTGCGATGCAAAAAGCAAAAATGTACATGTATGCATCACGAATCATGCACACATGCTCAAAATTGCAGGTGTCTGACAAAGCATGTCTGATGCCTTAGTGACTGCGAGCGTCCTCTAAAGCTTTGACCAAGCGGTTCTCCCCGTCCGTCAACCGAACTTTGGCCCCACAAGCACAGCAGGTGAGCCCTACCAGCGCCACACCGGCACCTGAAGCCACATGCGGTGTGTTGCGATGCGTGGAGCGTTGAAGCGAGGGAGTTGAGCTGCAAACAAGCACTTGGCCTGGGCTTATAGATCCTGTAGATTGTGACTTGTAATTGAAGAGCAATTGCCCGTTGCCCACTTGACAAACCAGATTTGAAGAATATATATATTATATATATATATATAATAGCACTTGAAAGCGCTCAACATTTGTGCGAATGCTTGCAACCCAGACTCCTATCTCGAGTACGTGTTTGCCGTGCACTGATGGAACAACTTGTGAATCGTGCTCCGACAAAGTCGAATTGATGAGCAGTTTTGAGAGAGATTCAGCCACTGGCCAAGCACCATAGCCGAAAAGCAGATCACCAGGATCTTCGTCGAGTTCCCAATACTCCACCTGCACAACTCCAAGGCGCTGGGAATGAGTTTAAGGCATTGCCTTCATCCTTATGTGGTTGGAGGACACCAAGAATAACTTGCCAATTCTAAACTCTATCAAACGTGAAGCGTGCCGGGGTGCCTCGATGCCGCGATAGTGAAAGGTCCGACGACCACCACAAAAAGTCGCTTCTGGCTCTGCCAGCTGATCCAAAAGCTTGGCTGCGGCTGCTGCCACCTCGTCATCGCCTAGTCAAGAAAGAAAAGCTGAGCCGCAGCAAGAAAGGAATGAGGAGAATTTGGACGAAGATTCTGAAACGGACAGCGATAAGATCCTATCAATGGCCTCCAACCTAAGAGCGATGGCCTCCAACCTATAAGAACCTAATAGATGAGGCGAAATGTGAAGTCTCAAAACGTGTAAAGCAAACTTGGTGCCACAGGTACCGCTGCAGCATAGAGGACAAAGCAAGTGGCGCTGACGCCGTAGCTGTGGAGCAAGCTGAGGCAGTTTTGACTGCAAAGATTGCAATGCTTTCAAAGGTTCTGCCTTCAGCAGTGCCAACTCCAGATCGATATCTGCAGCATCGTCAAACATAGACCATTGGCAAATGGTCGGTCAACTAGAGCTCACAGGGCAGGCGGTTCGAGCCACGGGTACTGACAAACACCTCCAAACAAGCAACACACTAGTTCATTGTTCTTTCCGAGGGGCTGCTGCTGGTCTTCTCCGTTGGCCGTTCCACATCCTAGGTACAGCACGTTGCTGTCAATTGATCTGCATCACTTAGGCCTTAATACACCCGTAGACGCTTACCATCTACCACCAATCATATGGCTCAGTTTCAAGCATTTGCAGGCATAGGTTCGTCCTCTGGGAATTGCTGGCGCTTTCGAAGTCGCTCTCGCTCCTAATGGCAGCTGTTTCGACACTCATCAGTGCAACACATCAGTCCAACACTGGTCAAGAAAAACACATGACTTCTTTTCCATGTGAAAAAAAGTGTTAAAATGTGCGGTCACTGCGATTGCTCCTTTCGAGCTTCAGCATCCAACATCATTAAGCCCTTGTGAAGGTCCAAGGTCTGCAGCCAAACCATGAGACACCGGGAGAAACCACAAGATTCATTCAATGTTGAATGCTGAACCCAAGGTTTATTTGATGGTTCATTCTATATAGTTAATAGTTGCTTATTGTCTATCTTCTTCTGACAAAAAGAGGTTCGCACCTTACTGGCTGATGAAATGGCCTCCTCCGCAGTGCGGCGGGCCACCGAAGAGCTTCGGGCCAAGCCTTGCACGATGTGTGAAGCCTCGGCCTGAAGCCTTGGAGCCTCAAACATGTGCTTTCACAAATCAAAGAAGGAAAAAGAGGACGATGTTGTTTCTAATGGCTTCTTGCTACTAGTAGTAAGGCCAGGAGCCCCTAGTAGCGTCCTTGTTCCTAGTAGCGATGCCCTTTGCTCCTAGTAGCTTCTTGTTCCTACAAAAGGACGCTATTGAAAGGAACATTACAAGATCGAAAAGGGATGGCCAAAACCTTTTGATAGGTCGGTCTTTGCTTTTTGCTCAGCAGCAGGACTCTGAGGTCCAGACTCTCAGTCAACAGTCGCGTTCCCAGGCGTTGTAAGTTGTTGCCCTGACAAAATCACTCGAAAACATCAGGACAACAGCTCTCATAAGCCCAGCACCAGAACCGCTCCTTCTTGATCATAGCTCAGATGATTGCCATGGCTACTCCTGAACCCCACTAAGCATATCCTAAGGCTGCCACTTCACTAGCTTCTGGTGAGGCTTTCTCAACCTTCTTCAGCGTTGCCTCCCCGAAAGTACGCTGAACAAAGAATGCTGCAAAACCCGTAGGAAACGCAGCAAAAGCTGCCTCAGTTGCCTCTGTGATCCTGGCCAACAATGATTGAGTCCATTGTTGAATCACTGAAGAAACTTGTGTCTTTTGCCTTCAGTATCCCAATCCTTGAGGCGTGTTCCATTCCGCTAGAGTAAACTTCTTGAAAGCAAACTAAACTTATTGAAAGCTTCTGGAGTTTCTGAAAGAGCAGTGCTCCTCTCCAAAAGCTCAGCTGAAGTGGCGCAAGCACGGCCTTCGTTGCTTGAGAGTTTCATGAGTAGCTTTGGCTGCATTGCTACCCAGCTCCTAGTAGTAGCTCCTTGCTCCTAGTAGCGATGCCAGGAGCCCCTAGTAGCCTCCTTGTTCCTAGTAGTGAGGCCAGGAGCCCCAACAAAAATGCAAGCACTAGATGCTATTGACGCGTCGCATTCTGCCTGCATCTTCCACAATAGCACATCGATCACGGAGAGCCATCTGTTCAAGCCAAATTGGAGAAGCAAATCACTCTGAAACAGCTGGAACTCAATGGATACACTTCCCAAGTTCAATTAGTCTTCCTAGCACAAGTAAAGTTTTAAAGGTGGGAAGCAAAGGCTCAGGGGCAAACCCCAGTGCTCAAAGTTTCCGCGATGTCGCTGTTGTCGCTCAGGAATGCCTCTGTTTACCACAGCAAAACCAAATAAAGGAATAAAAAAGAAAAGTCTATTCGAAGGCCTAAAAACAAGTGCAAAAGAAAACAGTGAAACATAGTAAAACCTGAAAAAGTGCAAGGCCACAAGGCTGGCTGACAGACTGGCTGACACTTCAAATTCTGATTTTCTTACCTCCGCACAGCGCACTGTAGCGTCTGTGGCACGGCCCAGCAATCGCAGCTGCTGCCCAAGGCCTCGTAGATTCGTGGCACCGACTGGGCAGATGAGTCTTTTCACAACATATGGAGACTTGAGTGACAAGACGGGCAAGGAATGAGATTGCATGCATTCACAATGCTTCCCATTGATCCAAACGTATTAAATTCCTTGAAACAACCTTTAGTCTCAAATGAAGCGCCTCGTAGTTCTACAGTGCTTTGGCCTGGAGACAAACAATCGTTCAAATTTCAAAGTAGTAGGGCCTTGCAAACGTCGTCTGGCTTCTGAACTATTTTGACATCTCTTTTGTGGCTTCCTCTTGTGATCTTGAACAAATGATTAGGACATGCCTATCCGCAAAAAAGAAACACATCTTCTGAGCTCTATGACGCGTGAGTTCCCGCAGACTGCGCAAGGAGCGGCGCTTCCCCTGGTCTAGTCTACAGATTTCAACTTGCTGTTCTTTGTCTTTTCTTAGCTGTTTTCTGTCTTCCTTTTTTGCTTAATGATCTCGACTTTGTCAACTTGATTGCGTGCTCTAGGGTTTAAGGATATTCCTTCTTGTCTCTCGGCTTTCATGCATGGCAACACATGGTAGTGATTGCTCCCTTTACTCTGCGAATGCCATGCATCATCCCGCATTCCCAAACTGCATGTCATTGCTGCATCTTGTCAACTCTCCCATTTGCTCAAGAATCTACAGAAGTTAATAAGTTTGGTCTTTCTGTCTCTGCAAGTTGGTCGGCCCTGCGGCTCATCTCGACATGTTTTGAGAGAACGTTCCTTGTCATAACTTTTACTGCAATGTTCCTCTCTTTTAGTCCTGTGACGGAGGCCTCAGAATCTTCCCAAACACGCATAACTCGATGTGCTCCCAATGCCACCCATTCAGCTGCTTGTTGTGCCTTCGTCATTGTGGCACATCAGGTTATCTAATACTCAGTTCCATTGAGTAAAAGGCACATGCGGTGCACTGTGCATCTAGAGTCTAAAGCCGTCGTTTCCCTCAGCTTTCATAGCCTGCTATAAGATCAAACTGGAACCCTGTGTGTGGAATCCTTCTTTGCAAACCCTGGGCTTTTCTGTCATTATGTCCCGCCTCGCTGCCGTACTTGTAAGACTCTCTCAGGATGGAAGACTCAACCTCATTGACAAGCAGGAACATGTCTCCAACTTTGACCAAAACACCAAGAGGCACCGATCTCATCCTTCCAACAACATGTATATACAGTAATTTGTAGATGATAAATGTATATCACCATCATATTGAGATCTGGATGTTACATTTCCAGAAAATGTCTTCCTGTCCCGACTGCAACTCTGCATCCGCGTAATATTGCTATATGACAATACGTACTGAAATGTATAAATATACAAATATATATATATACAGGCACATCCAGGTTGGTCCTGGGAGACTAGCCCATTCCAATGCAATTGTCACTGCTTCCTGTCTACACTTCCAGTCTGTTCTCAGAAGACTTATCCAACCACTCCAGTTGAGCAAGCCACCTCCTTCGGCACCTCTTCTGTGACATCCTCACGTATAGTAAACGTCAAGATTTATTGAAACTATATTATATATATATATATGTATATGAAGGCGTGTCTTGCTCTTCACAATCATGAAACAGACCGCAGCACTAGTCGTTTGGTTTGGCTTGGAGCTTGAGAATACCAGACCGCACCTCTGCAACGGCCGGTCCACCAAGCTGCCTGTTCGCTGGAGTTGGCCACTGGAATGTGCAGCTGGATGTCCCCACTTAACTCCAAATTATGCAAATTGCAAGTGTGCCTCTGTTTGAGAATCGAGGTATAAGCTTGCTGAATCGCTTGGAAGCGCTTTTTGTTGCCAATGCCAGCCTGACAAAGGCTGGAGATTGGAAAAAAAAGCCTCCGAGGTCAACTTTCACCAACCTTGTCGGGGTGTTCCTTCCTGGCCAGGTTCCGATAGGCCTTTTTCACCTGGCATGATGAGAGATGAACCGAACGAAAAAAGAAACTGCTGAGCTTCGTTCGTGTCCTCTCTTTTTACGGTGTTGTGAGTTTCAACTCGCATAATTCCCTAAATCCAATGCTTTGCATTCAGAGGATTCAGATCTTGCCATGGTGGTTCTTGGGCCTCATCTTCGCTGACAGACGGGCCATGGAGCCCCAGAATGAAATACGAGTCACGCTCCTGGGGAAGGCTATAGGCTGCATAAATATCTCAGACAATGAATGAAAAATAATGATAATAGCAAGGAAGAGCAAGCAGTGAAGAACGTTCTGGAGAAGAAGATATTTTTTGGACCTTAGACAAGTTGCCACTCTGATGGTGGGAGATGGGTTCTTTGAGTAGCTGCGTATGTTCGCTGCAGGCATTGCTTTAGTGAGTCCTCTGCAAGCTTTGTAACCTGCTTCAGCTCGTCTCGCTGACGGACTAACCGCATTACATACCTCAAGTCTTCATTGGGACACTCATTTAGTAAACCTCAAAATGTGAGCATGGCAGCATGGTTGCTTAAGGAACTCCTCATGTCAAGCTAGCAGCTAGCAAAACACCATGCGCTTGTTTTGCCTTGGACGATCAAACCAGCCAAGACGCTCTTCGATGAGCCGGTTCTGGGCTCGTAAAGTTTCCAAGGACATCTGCTGGGATTCGGCCTGAACAGAAAATCGTCTTCCGTTCAAACAGAAAATGCAATGAACACATCGACTCTCTTCATGAGCTCAAAGGCATTGACAGCTTTGAAGAAACAATACAGTGTTTAGTGCTTGCCATTGGTTGTCACAATGCAGTCAAACAGGCTTTGCATAGAACTTCTTCAGAGTTGCCTCCAGCTCCACTTCTTGCTTCCCAAGCCTCAGGACAAGAACTGCTGCTGAAGTATCGAGACTGGAAGATTTTGTCTCACAGTCTCAGCGCAAACAGCGCATTACATCATGTGTACTGGAGAAGGCTGTGCTTGTCAAACATGTGATTCGAGCTTGTGTAATTACGTGTTCTCCTGAGTCCTCCTGTGTTTTCTGTTCAATCATGCGTTCAAGCTGACTATCGGTGTTCCCATTGTCCCCACGGTGAAACACTGTGAAACAGTAAAGCGCAAAGAGATCAGAATCTGAGGAACCAGCTCTTTCAGCACGCCACCATCACCAAAGACCTGGAAACATACCCAAGCAAGTCATTGTCGGAGCTCCACAGGGCCCGCCCTCATGCCGTGAGTGTGGCCCATTGAGCCTTGTCCGTGGGAGTTCGTTGAGCCCGCTCCTCGTAACCACAGAGCCCGTTCACATCTGATCCCTGATCCCCGAGTTAATCAAATCCCTGCCTTGGATACTGAAGCTCCTCCTTCACAGAAAGAAATGGCAATGCACAAAAACCAGCAAAGCAACTCTCCTACAGAACTCATGCATCTGCATGTCTTCGTTGCATCACAAAGCTTTTGACAGCACTGGCAATGTTTTTGCTTCCCGGCTCATATCTCATAATGTGAAGAGTGCGGAGGTTCTACGGTCGGACGTTCAGGTCTTACTGCTTCATTCCTGCAGAGTGTCCCACCTTCCGGCAGACAGACTGCACCATTGATGACAAGTTACGGCAAACTCCACCCTGCTCGTGGATGATGTCCTCAACTTTGCCTAATGCTGCCTTCCCATGTTCTGGTGGAAGGCTCAACAAGGTTTGTTTTGCCCTTTCGTCAATGGCTGATCCTACCATGCTCTGCAACTGGAACAAATGCTGTTCTAGTTCTTCCTCATCTGTCTTGGCATCTGCATCGTCGCCCACAAGAGCCTCCTCGTCGCCCGCGATTTGATGTTCAGGAGGATCGTCGAGGCTGTGAATCTTGATGTGCGGAAATGTCTCTTTGAGCAGCGTCTCCACTGATGTGGTATTGCCCGTCACGTCAGGTGTCTCCATAGGAATCGCACCTGCCATCGCACCTGATTGGTATGACTCCTCATTGCTGACTGTCTCCACCTGAAGTCGCCGAGCAAACTCCTCCGCCTCTGCCTTGGGCACTGCATACATCTCAAAAACCTGGTTGTAGGCGGTGACTTCAATGTGCCTTAATTGGCATTCGGCTTCGTAGAGTTGAGTTAGCCTTTCATTTTCAGCTTGAAGTGCGGCCATTTTCGCTTCCATTTCATGAAGCTCTGATGGCTGCTGCATCTCACCATTGCTGCCCTCTGTTGTGCTGGCGTTTGGCATGACGCCACCAACCATACCAGGGAACGGAACAAAGAAAGCCACATTACCACAAAACGGCTCTCCCGGTGTGAACTCCGTTGCATCGGCGCTCCAATTCCATGACTGCGACTGTTCAGCACTCCATGCTTGAGGATGTACACCCATGTAACCTGAGCAAAACATTTCGTTAGTGGTCGCTTGCAATCCAGAAGTGTCACAATGAGCTCCAAAACGTTTGCACTGAGAAGTAGAAAGTATGCAGAAAGTAGCAAAAAGTACTTCAAGTTTAGCCGAGGATCCTCCAGGTGAGCCGGGTTCTGGAGTATCATATCCACTGTAAGCATCTGGCTGGCGGCTTTCATTCGGCGGCGTTGCCGGCGTCATGGCTTCGGCGCTCATGTCGTCAAAACTTTGAAAAGACAACGAAAAAGTTTTTTGTCAATGAAAGGAACAACGGTTTTGTGGCCGTTTTGATAATTTTTAGAATGTTTGGCCTCAAGAAGTATCTTAAACTTATGATTGTAAGGCCGTTTCACATCGTCAGTTCTCCATACTTCATGACATTGTTCATTTGGGCCTAGTCACGGCAGATAAAAAAATACAGGACACAACGGTAGACTGGTGCATGTCGCTGCGGTATGCAATGGCACCACTTGCTTTGGCTGCCTGTGGAAACAAACTCTCAATTCAATCATTGCTCCTGTAGCTACTCCACCTGCCGGCCAGCCTTCAACGTGAAGCCTTGCCAGCTCCAGCCAGACCTGGAGACAAAACAAGAAGAAAATCCCGAAGAAAATCACGACAGGGAGACAAAGGCAAGTGGTGGGACACACAGGGCCTGCTGCCCATAACACACTCGCATTGTTTTCAACTCTCAAGGTGGCTCGTCTGTTCGCCAACGCAGCCCACAGCTAGCACACTGCGCAGCAATGCGTGCCTCAGTGTGAGTGCTAAAACGAAGGATCTATCTTGCTTGGACATTGCTAGCACTCTGGGCTGCTGGGCATGGTCAGTACCGCCCAATGAGGCCGTCTTGCCCAGCTGGTGGTGTCCACCAACCTGTGGATGCACAAATCTCCGGCACGTTCTCCACATGCAAAATTGCTGCCAGAGCTCCACGACGACTGAACCAAGAGCCTTGAGCCTCTGGATATCTCTTCTGCCGAGGTGCATGAGGAATGCGATCATAGCGCGCACCCCAAGTACCACAACCCTGACATATTGACGAGGTGAGCGAGACAAAACTCAGTGCAAATCAACGCATCTTCTTTCAACTTGAAGAAACGGACACATGCCCGGTGCCTGGCAATGGATCTTCTCGCTGTAGAAGGGCAAAGCGCTGGAAGCTTTCGCTGCTTTCACTTCTTTCTCTACCCTTTCTGCAGCCGCAGCCTTGGGATTTCTGCAAGACAAATCTGAGTGTGTGGTCGGATGGGATCATTCTCACTTGGCTTGCACTATCTGAAATACTTTCAGATGCACATGTTGGGTGCTGATGATGCAAGGGCTTTCTCCAGTGATCACACACGAACAAATCGACGTGCATCGACGGATGGATGGCTTGATACCTTCAGTGCAATCAGCAGACAGGTACTTAGTTGGGACTGAATGGAGAAGAATGAAGTCCATAAGTCCATGGCCCGATCTTGGGCCAGCCGCTCCCTTTGATCCTCAGGTAGAAGCTCCTCATTGCCGGGATTCGGCCGGGTCCCGAAGAAAGGGAAAGTGGTCAACTCCAGGGAAAGCTTGTCCTTCTCACACAGCACAAGGACAAGCTTTGCATGTGTGTAAACATTGCATCAATTCGTCCGTCATGGAGTAGGTCAGCCAAGCGTCGCCACTCTCTTCAGCGTGCAGGAAAGACCGTGGAGACAACCTTTGCACAAGACAGGAAAACAGAACCCAGTTGCATCCTTTGAGTGAGCTGATCTGAATGAGACCGAAGCAGGCACAACTGCAGCACAAAGCTTGAAAAAAGAGAAAGGGGCTGCTGCCTTCCTTCCATCAATGACTCCACAACGGCTCGATTCGCCTCATAAACAACATCTTTCTCAAAGCATCCTGTACCAGCCAGCAGCCAACATGCCCCTCCTTCAGGCGCACACCTTGCAAGAGGCGCCTCAAGCGAGCACCTCAAGAACTCGTCATTGATCTTCATAGTAGCGAGGTTCTGAGGTTCATTCTTTTCCAAAAGAAAACGATGTTGAAGAACGTGTTCACAGCTTCTGAATCCAAGCCAGCCACGGTGGCCACGGGACACCTTGGCAAAGAGGGGTGGGGCCGGTGGGGCCTGGCCCTAAGAGGAAAACGCGTTCCACTCCTTGCCTCCACGGGCACCTGTGGCATGGATCAGGGTGTTTCAATGCCAAACAACTCATGCCTTCAAAGCCTGGGCCCTCACGACCTTCCTTTCGTTCCTCTCAAGGGTGCCTAAATGAAAAAAGTGACTTCCTTTTTCAGCTCAGCACTGGCCATCTCTTCTGTCACCCTGTGCCTTGACAGTGCCGCTTGCCGGATTGTCTTGCCTCGGGCCTAAAGTAAGGAAACGTGCCACGAGCTATAAGGCCATAGAACCATCTCGAGTATCTTTGATGCATATTTGAGCTCTAAGACTGGAGAGAATGGTCCGCACGCCCAGCTCCTTGAAAGCCGAAGCATGATTAGGATAAACATTGAAGAAAGAAGGAATCTAAATGACTTGAGTCAAAGACTTGTAGAGTTGTTCAGCATTCATCACTTCACCAATCTTGCGCGATGAGTTGAATGAGTCAATGGACATGCAATCTAACGTGCGTCTCCTCCTGCAAGAGGCCTTCCAGTTGCCATGCCACAAACTCTGCTGCCCATGGATGACCTGTGACTTTGCAAAATGCCAAAAAACAACTGGCTCAAAAATGTTAGGGATATCTTTTGAACCATTTGGAGCAATTTGTTCATTTTCCAGTGACTGCTTCCAGGCCAAGAAGCTCTTCGGCCCAGCAGCCTTGCAAAAGATATATAAAGCTTCTTTTTAGAGCATTAGAGTCGGTCGAACAGCACGACGTCCACTCGTGGCCCGGTTTCACAGGGCCCAAGACTTCAAGGCCATGAGAAATACAGTATCAGTGACCCAAGAGTCTTCGGCCCAAATACGCCACCGCTTTGCCTCAAGAGCTTCCATCAGCAGCTGCAAGGCCTCACAGAGACATAATCAAGCAAAGAATGTCAAAATGTCTGCCTTGTCATGTTCACATTCAGTACGGCACCGGATAAAATCTGCGCATATCAGTGTGGTACTGAGTCGACTCTCGACAGTCCAACACGATTCCTGCCTTGCTTCGGGCCTAGGCAAAGCAGGTCAGTTTGAGCTGTACAAAATACAATAGTCAGTCTCGCGAACACGAGCTGCACGAGACTTGCAATCTAGTATATAGACAGAACAAATGAATGTATGGCAGCTTCTTTGAAGTAACTTTGCCTCGCCGTCATTGACAGAGTTTGTCATTGCAAGGACGCCGAGCAACACTTGGTAAGTTAGTTGACCGGAGTCCCTGGAAACGTCAGGGTCTGACCATCTTGGAACATACTCAGAGATGCTCGTTGTCTGTTGTCTGTCATCAGAATATACTGGAGGACGTATCTGGACCAAATCGGTTTGTAGAGAGGGAGACGGTCACAGGATTCGTCATTCAAACGATCGAAGCAGCTGTAGCAAAGTCTGCTTGTCATGGGGAGATTTACATCCCAAGTCCGCAGCTCAGCAGTGTGCCTGTACTTCTCAAAAGACATTTCAGTTGGCCCACTGCATAGAAGTCCTTCTTTCGCAACTTAGAAACAATGCTGCCTACATGCAGGCAAGATGACATAAAAATTGTTGGTGTAAACATCACTAAGGTTACTCTGGCGGGCCAATTCACCAACAAACTGAGGCCATCAGAAGAGGTCCATGATGAAGTCACCCGCATCCTCTGCAGCTCCAGCAATCCACTCACCTGCGTCCTCAGCAGCACCGGCCACCGCCTCACCAACGTCTTCAGCAGCACCTCCAGGATGTCAATCAAGGTAGGAAAGGATGGCACACCGGTTGCACAATCTACAACACTTACACACCTCAGAAAAAGGCTATCTTTTTGAAGCAACCTTTGTAAACCTCATTCCCAACAAAAATCGAAAATTATCTTTTGGTGGCACCTGCAATGGCCTCTCCTGCATCAGCGGCAACGTCGCCTAGCTCTGCCATGGTTGCATCCCAGCCCTCCTCAGCAATGTGCTCACCAAGGACTGCTCCGGCCACTGCCAAACCACCAACAGCTACAACACCTGCAGTGCCAGCAGCAACTTTGGCACCAGTGCTCCATCCACCCTTCTTTTT